TTGATTTTTTACAGAGAGGAAGGGAGAGGGATAGAGAGTTAGAAACATCGATGAGAGAGAAGCATCGATCAGCTGCCACCTGCACACCCCCTACTGGGCATGTGCCCGCAGCCAAGGTACATGAGACCAAGGTACATTGACCAGAATCGAACCTGGGACCCTTCAGTCCCCAGCCCGACGCTCTATCCAGTGAGCCAAACTGGCTAGGGCTTATCAGTTTTTTAAATCTTGATGTTGGTTTTATCTTCTTTATCTTTGGCCTTCCACAGTCCAGTTTCATCATCCTCAAGATTCAACATTTGGTTCCCCAATTTCTAATTGGCCTTGTGTAAATGCCAGCATTTAAGGCAAATGGCAAAGCCTGGCACCACTGTCCCTTATGCTGAGTACGTTATACAGAGGGTTATGCTGTGTCTGTCACATAGGAGGGGAAGACTTAGGCCAGACTCTACTTCACCTGAGGCCTGGGATGGCTGTTAATGACCCCTGGTCTAGGCACTGAGGCTTGAGCCAGAGTTTTCAGCAGTCAGTTTCTCAGAGCATGCAGTATCCCTATGACCCTGTTGTAAAAGCATTGTAACCTGGCCAGCCTTGGGAGTTAGGAGTGGCATTGTATTGGTGTGCCTCCTCCCTTTGATGGACCAAGCCAAGTCCTGGTGAACTATAGGACTGTGATGGCCTGTCATGACTTAAGAGCATTCTCTTCTTGGTCATTCCCTGAAAGCATATTAAGCCTTGGGCAGTGGATGTTGGAGGTGGCAGAGAGAACCCCTGAAGCCAAAAGGAAAAAGGAGCATCCCCAACTCTGCCAGAGGTCATTTTTGCAAGGGATGGTACAGGACGGCTCTGATAGAAAGCAGCGAGAGGGATATAAGAGTTTGGAGACTGGAGTCAGATAAACCTGGGTTTGAATCTTGGCTCTTAAGTGTGTTGTTTACCAGGTCACTTTGCTTCTTTGAATCTGGTTTTCTCATCAACAAAATGGGAAAAGTAATTATACCTTATCTCATGAGATTGCTGTAAAAATTAAGCAATGATGTTTATGTAAAGAGTTAATTAGATACTTTACTAGAATATGTTAAGTGTGCATCATCACTGTCATTTTGGCTTTGGCAACAAGAACAGCAGTTAAGAAACACACTGGGAGAAATGAAAAGTAGCCTTGGGGCTTCTGTGTTATTCCCTTGGGTCTACTTTTAACTTCTGTTAATCTTAGGCACACATCTGTGAGCTCCAAGAGAAGAGTTAATGTCCTAGGGGTCTTCAAGGTATGGACTGCTTTTATATTCCTGGTATAGGAGAAATCCTGGTATCTCAGGGCCGCTGTGTTAGTGTGTGTGTGTAAGAGATGAAGAGAGTGAGAGAGGGAGAGGGGGAGGGAGAGACTTGAGATCTAGGAGGCAGGTTGACTGAGCGGTGGTTATGTGTGACTCATCAAATCAGCTTTTCTTCAGGAAGAACAGACTGTCATTCTTTACTTCTCTCTTAGTAGTAAAGGACCATTTGCTTGTAATCATAGAGAAAGCTATTTAAATCTGTCTTCAGAGCCCTTTGCAAGTATAGTTTGTTTCTGATGTGGTTGTTCTTGAATTATAAGGGATTTCTAGTGTGTGTTTTAACAAGTTTATTATTGGGAAGCAGTATCACTACACGATGCTGAAGTGACCACCTTCTCCCTGCCATCCCTTCCTTTGAAGTCACATATACCAATATATAAAATAGATCAAAGGAAGGCTGGAAGGCTGACACTTCTGCCCTCACCACCTTCTGTAGCAGCCCCTAAAAGCATTTCTAAGAAGGTGGGGGAACAGTTTGCAAAGCACTGCAGTCGGCCCTCTGGATTGTACTGGCTTTTTTATGTCCAGGTTGCCATTTGGGGAAAAGGATTGGACATAGTCCCATAAATAAGCAACTCTGTTATAAGAAATAGGTCTCTACTGTAATAACAGAGCACTTGGACACTGCAGCTTCCCTTTCTAATGCTGTCTGAGCTGCAGTAGTTGAAGCCATAGATTGGGGCTGACTGGATGATTTGGGAGATCAGAGCTCAACATGTAATGAAGTATTGTAACCAAAGTTTGTTCCAAATGTGTTTGGGGGATTTTGAGGCAGTGATGATGCTCTTTAGAACATTTCAGTTAATACAAAATATGCAGCTTTTCATTTATAGTGCACATGTGCCAACTCCAATGCTCTTTTACATGGACAGGCATTGTTTACATTCTCTCCCATATGGTGTGGCATAACCTGTCTGCCTCTCCATCAGAGTCTGTATGTGACCTAGACTTTACTTTTCTTCTCCTCCAGGCTACAGATGCACATGTTGAATGGAGCTCTTCTGGCCTTGCTGTTTCCTGTGGTAAATACCCGGCTGGTAAGTAGTTTCTTCTAGGAGCATACCAGCAACATACAAAGCAGCATTTGCTCACTACTTCATTTTGCATTGCTTGTCCTCATCCTTAGCTCATGTGCACATGTGAGTGTTAAAATATCTACATATACTTTACCTTTCAATAACATAGGTTTGAACTGTACAGGTCCAGTTATATGTTGATTTTTAAAAATAAATAACATACAGTACTGTAAATGTATTTTCTTTTCCTTATGATTTTAATAACATTTTCTTTTCTCTAGCTTACTTTATGGTAAGAAAACAATATATTATACATAAAACATACACAATATGGGTTAATTGACTGTTTATGTTATTGGTTAGGCTTCAGTAGGCTATTAGTTAAGTTTTGGGGGAGTCAAAAGTTATACATGGATTTTTTGACTGCATGGCGGGGGGGCGTCACATCCCTAACCCCTGTGTTGTTCAAGGATCAACTGTATTTACTAGTAATTTTGAGATTTGATGCAGCCCTGTATGGATCAGTGGAACATGATGGAAATAGGAGTGTTTTGTGGAACTCTGAGGCTTGCAATAGTGGGTTAGGCCAGAATCAGGACAGACCAAAAAGCCTACAGAAGCTTTTGGAGAGATTTGGTAGAGAGAAGGGAGACTGGGGACCCCACCCATTAAACAGAGGCTTCCAGATGTTTCTAAGGGTCTCTAGTGTGAACTCAGTCACATTGAACCAAGATAATCTGCTGGGAAGTTTCAAAGCCTATCTTCTTTGCCTAGGACCCTGTTGGGCAAGAATTAGATTCCTTCCGCATTCGTCCAAACCCACAGGGAAGTCTGGGCCACACACATCCTCTGTGGCCAGCAGGTAGAATCCCACTGTGGCAGGAAGCTGAGTGATAAACCAGCAGAGAGAGAAGCTAGAGCTACAGGACTGGGTAGCAGGGCCCCATCCTCAGAGTCCCACATGTGGGAATGCAGAGGGATTAGTAGGCAATGTTAGGAAGCACAGGGAAGAAATCACTGATAAATTCTTCCTTTTGCTTTTCATTTGCATGATTTAAGTTTGCCTCATGCATTACGATCACAGTTTAAATCTCAAGATGATAATTTTTCCTCTTTAGATAACATCGTTTACAAGGTATTTTCACATAACAGTTGTGTAATTTAGATAGAGCAAGTATTATAGCCTTTTCTCACAAAGAAAGAAACTGACATTCAGGGAGTTACACACACATGCACCCACACACATGCATACACACGTGTGCATGCACACACACATGCACACATGGGAGCTTAAGCCTCCAGATCCTATGACCACAATTATACTCGCACTCTCTCTGAGAATTTAGTCACTCCCTCTCCACAAATACTCATGTATATTCTTATGATTGTCATAATTTTCTAGATGCATATTATACATCAATAGAAATTAAAAGGAAAATTATTCGTTTAAGCAGTGGTTTTGAACTCTCAGTATGTTCTAGGCTCACCTAGGGGTGCTGTAAAAAAAACAAACAAACTGACAAATAAAACAATTAAAAAATTTTGATACCCTGTCTCCCTCCCCAATGCCTCAGATTACAGTTCTGAATTTTTGGCCTGTGATGCAGCCTGGGTACAGTATTTTAAAAAGTCCCTTCTAACATGGAGCTGCAGTTAGAGCCACTGATTTTGTGCAATGGTTCTGAAACAATGTCCATAGCAATAACCTAAAGGAATGGCTGAAAAATGAGGTTTGCCAGTCCTGGATGGTGGCTCAGTTGGTTGGAGTGCAGTCCCATGCATGAGAAGGTATCAGGTTTGATTCTGGTCAGGGCACATACCTAGGTTGTGGGTTCAATCCCCAGTGGTTGGGGTGTGTATGGGAGGCAACTGATCAATGTTTTCTCTCACACATAGATGTTTCTTTCATCTCTCTCTCTCTTTCTCTCTCCCTCCCTCCCTCCCTCCTTCCCTCCCTCCCTCTCCCTTCCTCTCTCAAATCAATAAAAACATATCCTTGGGTCATGATTTTTTTTAAAAAAAGAGGTTTGGCAGACCCCATCCCCAGGAAGTCTGATAGAGAGGGTTTGGGGTAATGCCAGGGAATGCTGATTGCATGAGCCCTCAGACCAGTCTTAGAAAATCAGTGTCACTAAAAATTCTAAGTTACTTTGTGTGTAACTCAAAGTGTGGTCTGATGATCAGCTTCAGGTGGCTGCTGCTTGTTAGAAATGCAAAATTTCAGGACCCACCTCAGACCCACTTCATCAAAATCTGCATTTTAACAGGTTCCCCAGGGGGCTTATATGGCCTGGCTCCTTTCTTCCAAAGAGCACAAAGCACCTTATAGGTTGACCATTCAACCTCCAGAAGCTGGAAACACCACGGTGAAAGAGGGCAGGCCATATAACACATCCTTGAACAACATCGTTTTCTTGAGATGCTGTAGGAACTTAACTCCTGTTTATATGAATGGATATGGCAAAATTGGTTTCATTATACATAATTTTGCTTAGAGTTGCAGAACCTATCAAAGATGTTAAATGAGGACTTACTGTATTGTCTCTGTCATAATAGGCCTGGCACATTAAGTTCAGTGTTCTCCTGTTAGCTGGGATCAGCAGGCAAGGCTGCTAACATAGGTACCTTTGCCCTCCCTTCTGCATTTCCCCATACTATGTGACTTCTCATGGTGAACTGTAGAATCAGAACTCCTTACTTGGTCTCAGAGCTATAGAGGATAATACCCAGGAATGGTGTAAATCAAACAAATTGAAAACACATTTCTTACTGGCTCAGGTTTGTGGAGCAGTGCTGGAGCTGAAGTTACTCCCTGCCTGTGGAGGTAACCTGCTAAGACAGGGAAGTGTATCCAGTTCTATCTTATTCCATCTCTCGAATCACCCTGCTACTGTTTTCTCAGGAGATTCCCAGGTCAGGAAGAGAGAAGTCTGCTCTCTTTCTCCATTTTTTTTAGCAACTCTATCAGATTCAAGGAACGAATGGCATACCAGAAAATTGTTCATAGAATTAGTGATCTTGAATGTGAATGCATCTAGCCCACAACTTTGGCCAAATAGCCTCTGCCATCAGTTGAGGTGGCTGTGGTTCCTCTAATTAGGTCACCTATATCTCTCCTCTTAGTGGGTCCTTTCCCCTGAGAAAAGCCTAAATCTTCTCCTTGCAGAACTACTGAGAATTAAACAGATGTTATGATTCCCATTGTGCAAGGTTGAAAATAAAGGCCTCAACAGGCCCATTCACATACCTGAAGTCAGAATGCTGGTGGTGATGTTTTCATTCAATCAATATTGTGTTACACCAAAGGTATATAGCTTCACTTAGCCTGCTGATGTTTCCTTAGCCCTCTTTACATCAATAACAACAACAGCAGCTGACACTTGAGTGCTTACTATGTGTCTGGTACTATTCTAAGTCCTTTCCATTGACTAGTTTATTTAATCCTCACAATACACTTATGAGATAAGGTACTCTTATTACCCCCATGATCAAGGTGCTAGTAGGGTTGTTTTCCTCTGAAGCCTCTCTCCTTGACTTGCAGAGGGCCACCCTCTTGCTGCCTCTTCATATGGTCTTTCCTCTATGTACACATATCCTTGGTGTCTCTCTCTGTATCCAAATTTCCTCTTCTTATAAGGACACCTGTCAGATTGGATTAGGGTCCACCGTGATGGCCTTACTCTATCTCCAAATATAGTCACATTCTGAGGTACCAGGGATTAGGGCTTCAACATATGAATTGGAGGGGGTATACAAGTCAATTCTTAACAGCTTTCCTACTCTATACAGAAAACAATGTTTCTCTCTCCTCCTCCCTTTCTTTCTTCTCCTTCCCTCCTTTCCTTTTTCCCTTTCTCCTTCTTCCCCTCTCTCATGGCACATTTGCTATATTTGTTATAATACCTAATACTTTCCAAGTAAATGTCAAGCTGTAGCCAACCAGCTTATCAAGAATGTTAAAGTAATGTTACTTTTTTTTTTTAGCTTTCAACTGTCTGCATTGTTTAGCCATATCTTCAGAAAAAAATCACTTCTACTGTCGTGGTAAACAACCTGCTTCCCTATTTATAATGGTCTGGCCCTCCAGCAACTTCAGCACGAAATTATAGCTAATTTGCCTACAAAAGTCAGGTGGTCATAATAATCTGGCCACTCAGTGTATATATTAATATTTGGGAAAGGAGGCAAAAACATACAATGAGCTGAAGATAGTCTATTCAATAAATAGTGTTGGGAAAATTGGACAGATACATGCAAAAAAAAAAATGGAACTAGACTACCTTCTTATACCACACACAAGAATAAACTAAAAATGGAGTAAAGACTTAAATAAATGTTAGACTCAAACTCATAAAAATCCTAGAGGAAAACATAGGAAGTAAAATCTTGGACATTTCTTTTTTTTTTTTTTCCATGCTTCTTTGCATGTTACTTTATTTTTCTGTATTAATATAAACATTTTTTATTGTTTAAAGTATTACATATATCTCCTTTTCCCCCAATTGACCCCCCCATCCACTTCCACCCCCCAGGACAAGCCCCCACCACCCCAGTGTCTGTGTCTATTGGTTATGCTAATATGCATGTATACAAGTCCTTTGGTTGCTCTCTAACCACTCCTCCCCTGCCATTTGTCTCTGGATCCATTCTTGTTCATCAAATTATGTTGATCATTATATCCCACATATAAGTGAGATCATGTGATATTTATCATTCTCCGTCTGGCATATTTCGCTTAGCATAATGCTCTCCAGTTCTATCCATGCTGTTGCAAATGGTAAAAGTTCCTTCTTTTTTATAGCAGCGTAGATGTACCATAGTTTTTTAATGCACTCATCTGCTGATGGGCACTTAGATTGTTTGCAAATCTTAGCTGTGACAAATTGTGCTGCTATGAACATAGGGGTGCATATATAATTTCTTTTTTTATTTATTTACTTTTTTATTATTAAATTTATTGTGGTGACATTGTTAACAGGATCAAATAGGTTTCAGGTGTAAATTTCTAAGTTACAAGATCT